AGAAATTGCCAATATTATTCTTGCTAATCTTGATAGCTTTGGCAAATCTCTTTCTTGTTGTTTCCACTAAAGTAGGATATCCGTTTGAAGTATATCCTCTTTCTCAAGTGAGATCCGGATGTCCCTTATGCAATATATGTAAAACTCTTTTTTTGAAGTGAGCACGGAATGATTAATCTGCAATTCCGAAATAAAATACCATGTTTTTTTTTGTAATCGTTTATGCTATTCGGAATAGTAACAGAACAAAATACTATAGAGTTTTATAAACCGGACCTCGAGTTAATATTAGAAACAGATGCATCTAACCAAGGATTTGGAGTTGTACTCATGCAAAAATATGATAATGGTAACGAATTTCAAATAGCTTACACCTCAAGAACTTTACAAGACGCTGAAAAGAATTATTCTACAATAAACAAAGAAGCAAAAACAATAATAAACGGCGTAGAAAAATGTCATAACTATTTGTATGGACGAAAATTTAATAAACAAAGAAGCAAAAACAATAATAAACTGCGTAGAAAAATGTCATAACTATTTGTATGGACGAAAATTTAAAATACGAACAGACCACAAACCTTTAATAAAGATATAAGGTAATAAAGAGATTTAAGTTCATTAACAAACCAAAGATTATTACGTTGGGCTTATAAAGTATGTGCATATGATTATGATATAATGTACAAGAATGGCGCTAATAATATAATTGCAGATGCTTTATCGCGAAACCCAATAGAGAAAAATGATGATAGAATAACAAGCGAAAATAAAACAGTGAAATATATATGAAATCTTACTTATGACACATTAACTGTATCAAGAAAAGAACTTAGAGAGTCCGCAAAAGATCCAATTTTAAGAAGAGTAAAAATATTAATAAATGGTACAAATATACAAAATCAAGCACCAGAATTACAAGCTTTTAGAACAAGAATAGATGAAATAGAAAATGATGACGGTATTTTATTTTGGAATGGCACCGTACTCACTTCAAAAAAGAGTTTTACAAATATTGCACAAGGGACATCCGGGCATTACATCAATGAAATCCATTATAAGACATTATACATGGTGGGTCGAAAAACTAGTAAACAGCTTGGATGTCAAAAACAATGCAGAGATATATTAAGTGTTGCCGTATACCAGGGGACGCCATCACAACCCTGGAAAAGGGAAGAAGAAAAAGAAAAATCGTAAGAAAACACCAACCAACTACGAACAAGGGAAGAATCAGTTAAAACCGAATCAATAAAAACAAATGACAATATGAAGCTAGGAGATGATAAAACAGTAGAAACAATGGAATCAAGTCAAGAAGGAATGCAACCCCGATATCCAACGAGGGAACGAAAGCCAACAAAAAGATTAAATGGTACAAATATACAAAATCAAGCACCAGAATTACAAGCTTTTTGAACAAGAATAGATGAAATAGAAAATGATGACGGTATTTTATTTTGAAATGGCATATATAATCATTCCGTACTCACTTCAAAAAAGAGTTTTGCATATACTGCAATCAATGAAATCCATTACGAGACATTATATATGGTGGGAACAATTAGATAAAGATGTCGAAAAACTAGTAAAGTGTTCTTCACTTAAAAAAACGATTGGTACAATGAAAAAAGAAATATTGTTATTGATCATTTAATTAATTATAATTTTTCTTTAGTTTGTTTTTGAACAGAAATTTTAAATTTCCTTAACCCGCCCGCCCATTGTTAAAATTTCTAAACCTCCCCCCCCCCCCTGCCCATAGTTTCAAATTTTTTTACCCGCCCACTTAGATGGGCGGGAGAGCCGAAACCCCGCCCAATGCAGACCTCTACCTCAAACAATTATTCTACTTTGGTGGAAACAACAAGAAAAAGATTTGCCAAAGCTATCAAGATTAGCAAGAAAAATATTGGCAATTCCTGCAATTAGTGCTTCTTCTGAACTAGGATTTAGCATTGCTGGAAGGTTTTTAGAACAAAGAACGTGTATTCAGAAAATGTAGATTCATTATTTTTTTTTACATTTATAATTACATATAATATCAATTTTATATTTTTTTCATAAATATTTTATTTGATCAAATAGATTATCTATAATTTAAATTGAATATTTTTTTATGCTTAATTCTGAAACTGAATTATTATTTTTATTAGATGGTTAAAAAAATTGAAAGAATAGTCATAATTAAATTTTATAATGACGGGCTTATGTTAAATTTTTTTTATAAATAATGGGCGGGCGGATAAAAAATCTTAGACTAATTGGCAGGAGGGAGGGTATATTTTTTTGAAAACTATAAGAGGGCTGGACGGGTGGGTTAATTTTTTAAAATATTGGGTGGGCCAACTTATTGCCTAAAACCCGCCCAATTCAGACCTCTAATTGGCTATCCAAAAAATTTAAACTGAATTATATTCCTTCTAGCGAGTAGTTCTAGCTGATCTTTGCTCGCAAATATATGTGGAAAGATCCTTCAGTGCACTAGCATCAATTAACCCCATTACGAACTAGATTAGAAAAATGTATTTTAGACAATATTTTATTCATTAAACTTAATAAAAATTTTTTAAATAACGTTATCTTTTGAGTTTTAACATTAATTTTTATTTATATAAGATTTTAAATTGAATCCGATTAAAATTTGTGAATAATTATATATTATCTTAGAATAAATAAAATAATTTTAATGAAATTGATACAAAGTAAGGTAAAAGTTTAACATAAAAAAGAAATTTAAAAAAATTGAATTTCCTAATTTTTTACTCCGTTTATATAATTCACGGAAAACAAAACATATGATATAGGTTGTAAATTATTATACGATTACGAATAGTATTTCTATAGCTGGCTTATGTATTTAAATGCCATTCTGAATTTTATTCACCAATCAATTATTTACCTTATAATTTTTTCCCTTTAAAAAAATGAATTTTTCCTCCCTCTAAAAAATAATATTATTTCTAGAAATTATTTTTACGTAAAAAAATTAATGGCTTATAATAAAGAGTTAAAAAAATATAGTGTTAAAACAAATTTATTATAACAATGTTAAAATAAATAAAATAATTCCTTACTTATTATTTTAATTCTTAAAAAAACTTATGATATAAGTTGTAAATTATTATACTATTAGTATTTCTTGTGTTGTTAATCGACTAAATTTAGTAGACTAACAAACGACTAACTAATAGTTTTAGTCGAAAAATTAGACTAAAATAGAAACTACATTAGTCTATTATTCGACTAAAAAGACTAATTTAGTCGACTAAAACGACTAATTTAGTAAATAAAGTGACTTAGTCAGCTTAGTCGATCCATTTAGTTGGCTTAGTCGACCCTTTTAGTCGGCTTAATCTACCTTTTAGTCGACTAATCAAATTTTTGAGCCAGTGTTGTTAATTAGTCTGTTCTTCCGACTACTTGAGATATTAGAGAAGACGAACTAAAGTATAGTGACATTTATCATTATGATAATTTTAATCTTTTTTGAATTTTTTTAAAGTAAATAAGTAAAAATATATAGTAAACATGTTAAATTAAAATTTAAATGAGGATGTACCATAGAAAAGTGACAATTATCATAATCGTTTTTATTAAGCTTTCGAATATTATGCTGAAACGAGCTGGTGTTTAGCCTACTCCTGTCCATCTAATTGGGCGGACTAGCTAAATAATATTTAAAAATGTGAGCGGACCTGTTAAAAAATTTTAACTTTTATTTGTTATTTAAAATTTATTAGGTAAACATTAAAAAATATATGCTCATAAAATTTTACCATTTTTAATACCAAAGTACCGACAACTGTTTATCGTTTGGAAAAGCTAATGAGATTGAAAAAACTTGTTAGATTTGATTTGCATGGAAGAATATGACATCGACGTGGATAAAAATATCATTTTACCCATTTTCCTAAAAGCAAAGAAAATTCAATTATTATTTTAAATGCAATGTTTGAAATAGGTAGCATTCACGTCAAGATTAAATCACAACAGAAGGGTGTAAACTTTTTATTAAGGAAATTGATATGATAAATATTTCATAATTATCAATTTTGATTCTTTTAAAACTTTTTATCAGGAGCATAAAAGTTTAAAATAAATAAAACCTTTCGAAACTTAGAAAAAAAATCCTTATAAAAAAAATCATATATATTTATATTGAATAAGGCTCAAAATCAAAACTAGGTAAAAATGATTATGATCGATCACCTATCTGAATTACTCTCAAATATAACCCTAAAATATAATGATTGCAACTTGTAAGTTGTTGTACATATAATGGTAATTCATTTTTTTTGTTCTTAATCTGGTATTTGGTTCCAAGTGAAAATTTTGGAATAACTAAAACTATAATATGATGACAATGACATAATTGAGTAATAACCAATAAACCATACCTTAAATTTACAAAAAAGAATACTTATTCAATTATTATGTTCAATTATTTATAATCTAATATTCGTAAAAAGCTACATTGTAATGTAATAGTTTTTTTTTGAAAAAATAAAATTTTAGTATATTCTGAAATTTTCATATATTTTTCCTTATTTATACTACATTTTGGTAATTCATATTTTATTACCTTTTATAATCATATAAATTCAATAAATAACCATAAATCTGGCAATGTTCAGCGGATTTTATTTTGCACGCTCCTGTGGATTAAAAGAAGGTTAAATAATATCAAATTTTAATGATATTAAAATAACTACTCATTACAAATAATAGACTAGGGAAAAATATTTTTGGATCAAAATTAGCACATCTCTCAACTTTTAAGAATGTCAAATAAAAATTTATTAAGTCTAAATTTTTGTGAAAAAATTAGTATTAAATTATTTATATTTTTTTCAATGCAAATAAATATTATTCGAAATTCAATGATTACTATATATTTTATTTAATTTTTAATTAAAATTTGTAAATAGCAAAATTATTTTATACAATAAAAACTTTATAAGAAATTTTTAGTGTTCGGCGAAGACAAACAAGTGGTATAATAAATAGTTATCAACATCATCTTTCTTTATTAACCCATTTATCATCAGAATGTTACAAATTATTACATTTTTTCATAATAAAGAATCTTAACATTTTAAATATAAACTATTTCAATACAATCTTTTTCGGCTTTCTTCTTGTTTCTTAAACACCAAAACTCCGACAACGAATAAAACAGCCAATCCTATTAAAGCTAGAATGATGATTAAAACTAATTTTTTGGCCGTCATTGGTATGTGTTTGGGTTTAGAAACGTGATCTGATATATAAAATTTATAAGATAATGCATTAATTAAAATTAGAAAAAAATCAGTATTGATATTTTATAATCTTTATTATTATAGGGATGTTTTGAAAAAATATTTAATACAATTCTAGTTTACTACTACTATAAAAAAAATTCCAGTAAACAAGAAACTAAGTTTTTTTGATATAATAAAACAAGATTTGGTATGAAATTTTTTTTTTCTGGTTTTCTTAAACTTTAAAAAAAATTGTATTCTTCTTTGTATTTTATTATAAACAAAAACATTTGTGACTGACAACTATAGTTGGGTAATTGCTCTATTTTAGACATTCTAGCCTGCTAAAAACGACAGATTATAATTTTTTTGTTGAGAGCCAATACCCAGGCCTCAGGTTTTTTGAAAATATAGCTCAACTTTGAAGAATAGGGGAGACCGGGCATGTTGAGTATAGGGGAATGTTGGTCCATTCCAATTATAATTTAAATTCTTTTTTTTATAAGACTGGAAATTGAATAGGATTGGCTAAAAAAATTTGGAAATTTTTTTACAAAGATAAATGTGTTTAGCGTATCAAATGTAACAAAAAAATGCAAACTTCATCATTTTGATTAAATAAAACTTTAAAATTTTAATAAATAAATTTTAGGAAAGGTTAAATAAACCCTATTCTTTATTCTGAGTGATATTTGTAAATTTAGTGGGCTTGGTCATAGGATGGTTAGTCCTATTAATTATTGCATATTTATTTTTTATTTTGATTAAAACAAATGCAAATAATTTTCAATGCATAATTAACAATCTAAAATATTAAATTTTAATATAATATAGCTTAAATAATATTTTTATTTTTTTTACAAAGATTCCTAAAATTTCTTAAAATATCTAAATTCAATTCACTTTACTTAATTATTACGTATTATGATATTATTCAATATATGAAGCTTTTTCCCATAAATTTTATTGGAATTCTTTAGATCCACTTATTGTAAGTCTCTAGCTATGTTAGATTTTCATAAAAATAATTTGGTTTTTTACTTTTTTTTTCTCAAAATTTTATTGTGCACATCTTAGGGGAAACTTTTGATTAGCTTAAAATAATATTTACGAGAACAGGCAAATTTCTGAAAGCCCCCCCCCCTTGGCTACGCCTATCAATAAATTAATATACTTTAAAGCCTCTAGTATTATACCAATATCAAAAAAAATAATTTTATGTTTTCATTTCTTTGGTGGAACAACTATCATGTTGGACAAACGTACCCAGAGGACAAGGTTTAACCAAATAAATTTTTTTCAAATTAAATTTTCCAAGAGTCGTTTCTATAAAATATATATTGACTATTTTAAATGGCCTATTCTTTGAGGATTGAAAGATGTTTTATTTATTCAAATGAACTATTGAATTTATTCAGGTTTGAACGAAAAGTATCCCAACCTACCCCCAGATCTCCCCTACATAAATAAATTAACTCACACCCCAATACTTAGCAAATTTCTTCAGCATTACGCTTGTAAATTAAACTAAATTAGCCGATTTTGACCATAATAATAGTATAAGAAATAAAAGCAATACAATATAAAATTTGTACCTCTGGGAGGACTGAAAAATTCGGCATAGGGTGATATTTTGGATGGATCTTCTTCCGCTTCCTTCCCCTTTAATAAATTAAATTTTTTATATAAAATATAGAGTAATCTTAACTAGAGATCTGCAAAAGTAAGCCCCGGGCCGGGCTCGGGCCTAATATTTTTTAAAAAAAATTCGGGCTGGGTGGGGTCTTGGAAATTTTATTTTATTTATAGAACTAGACGCCTATAACATGTCTTTTATTTTGGTAATTATAAAAATTAATTTATTTAAAAAAAATTTCGGATTCGGGCGAGCCGGTGTAGTATTAATCAATACCGTAATGATAATTTATGATCGAACGTAAACTTTTAAGAATAAATTCTAAAATATAATTTAGAAATTTTTGAATAGACATTTATAGATGAATAGACAATTATAGATTAACACATTTATAGATTCTCATTCAATCAATAAGGTACATTTAATTGGTTTAAATTCATAATATCAATTATAAAACTTTGAATCAACACTTATAGATGAGTAAACAAATAAAAATTATATAGGATATCAAGAATTGTAAAATAAATAAATTCCCTGGAAAATTTATATAAAAACATTTATAATCATTTAAATATATTTAAATATATTTAAAACTATTTTAAATAATTTTTTTACAAATCGAAAATGGCCGCCAATATTTTGAAGCGATGAAAAAATATATAATAATAAATATTTTACAATTTTAATGGCCGCCAATATATTTGAAGTGATGAATAAATATATAATAATAAATATTTTACAATTTTAATGGCCGCCAATATATTTGAAGCGATGAATAAATATATAATAAATAAATATTTTACAATTTTGATGGCCGTATTTGAAGTGATTAAAACATCACTTAAAAATCAATACGGTGTTGATTCAACAATACGAAAATATCACTACGGTATTGAATCTACAATGATAATATCAATACGGTATTGAAGCTATAATGGGTATTGATTTCACAATCCTGCACCGGGAAATCTTTTTAAAAAAAAATTTCGGGTCGGGCTGGGCTTGAAAAATTAGGCCCGATACAGATCACTAATCCTAACTCATATCTGTATTTAGGTGGGATCAGGTAAGCCAATTTTATTTTTGTTAATACGAATTAGATATGGAGTTCCATTCCTCCCCGAGTGAAATCAAGATACTTAAGGTTGTACCAACATCTGTGGTCATCAGCAGAAATGTACAGATACCAACACCGATATTTTACATCATAAAGGTGACAAGATCTGAAATCTTAACAATTTACTATTAAGAAATTATATAACAGAACTAGGAAAACTGGGTGGTACCAACAAGTTTCAAAATTTAAAGGAACCAAAACCAGTTTAAAATCCAAGAATCGGTTTCGGAACTGCTATAACAATAGCGAAATTGATATTTCTTGCAAATAATTTAAAATATTTTTGATTCATTTGTTAGAATTTATTTACTGTTATTTTGAATTTTTTTTGATTATTTTAAAGTTTGGAACAGGAAACAGAACCTTTGAATAGAATAAAATTTGAGAATCAGAACTTACTTTTAAGAATATTTTTAGAATAAAAATGATATTTTGAAAAGGAACTATATATAATTTCATTCATATACGCTGAAAAACGATCAGTAAAATGATAGGTATATTTTAATTTTTTTTACAAATCCGAGTTGGGCTTGCAAATTGTATACCTCTGCAGGTCTCTGGTAATAGCTAATAGCATGAGTAAAAAAGTTAAGAGGTGAATCTTTGGTTATCAATCAGTTTGATTACACCGAGTTAAGGCAACTAGATGTCTAATATCAAATTCATTTCATAAAAAAAATTAGCCTGATTTTTTTTTCCTCAAGCTGGCTACACTTAAATATAAGTCTTATCCTCTGAACCAAGTACAGACTTAATACTATGATATATATACTGCTTAACTCTTGATATTTTTTAATATGAATTTCTCGCCATATAGATTTGAACAAAATCAGTGATCATTAAAATTTAATAATTACTGAACTTAAAATAAAATAATTTAAAACCGGGCCAGGCCTAAATCTTATTTTTATGCTCAGGTCGATTTAGAAAAAAAATAAATTTGGATCGTTTAATAAAAATTCATAAGCCAGGCCGCAGAATAAATCCTAACTGAGCTTAAAATTAAAAAGAGCCGGTTCAAAAATTTAAAAAAATTCAAGCAAGGCTGAAAATTTTGTAAAAATATTGAATAAATGCCGTTTCGAATTTGCAAAGAAATATACATATCTAAAAATTCTTAGATTAAAGTTTCATGTTGTTAAACGGGTAAGCCTAACTCGAGTCGAGTTTTTAGTCAAGCGACTCAGACTAGAGCGGCTTATATTTGTTATTTAAATATTTTAAAAGAATATAATAACAATATTCTAGACGTTTAAATATTTTTATTTTAAAATTTTTTATACATAATAATAAATTTATCTTAGATATAAAAATTAAAATATAATAAACATTTTTCTATTGTTTGTAAATCTCTTGGGATTTTTTGATAATTTTTTGGGGGAAGATTGCTCGAAGATTTTTTATGTCAATTTATTTTTTTATAAAATATTATGTAAATATTAAATATTTTTTTATGAATCAATTGTTTGAGGTGACTATTGATATTTCTATCTTTAATATCAACAGTTAAATTATCTTACATCCATATTGTCTCCTATTGCAGAGTCCTTTCGCTGAGCCACATGAGTGACCTCCTGAACTTTAAAGTAGCTCACGTGCTTATTTTTAATTACAAGTATAAATATATTTAAAAATTCTACCACTCTTGTTTAATACTTTGTTTTGAATAATTTAAAGAATATCTTACCTTTAAAAATAACTTATATATTTTAAGAAATATTAAAAACAAAAACATATAAGATTAATTTTCAAGTCTGAGCCGTTTTTTACGACTCCGGCTCGAGTTCAGAGTCGAAAAAACTCGACTATTTACCAACACTATCAAATATTATTTATTAAACACCTTTTTAATTATTAAAAATAATTTATTTTATTTACTATATTTTTAATATTAAATTATGAAAAAAAATATTAATGTGGCATCTCATTTTTGGTTACCTCTTTTTGGCTTGTTAAGCAATCTATCGATGGTAATATTATATTTATAGAGTCATTTAAAAAATATTTACAGATTAAATTTACTTTTCTGTTATGCATATATATTTTTTTGGCCTGAAGAAATCACCCTGATCCCATCGAATGGGGTCAATTTCTGGTTTGGGATTACTCTTGTATTGATCCATTACCCTCATCCAACCAAACTCCAAACTTGCTCGAGCAAAAAGAACAGCTCAAAATTTCTAAATATTCGTAAATATCAGAAGATCACATTTTTATTCCAATAATATCACAATCTTAACTTTTTTAGTAAGCTTGCATTATCCTTCTTCAAGGATTTAGGATCTCAGCTGCAAGCATACTGGCGATCCAAGATAAAGATTGACTATAGCTATCCTTAAAACATCATCAAAGTTTCAATGGCAATATTCTCTCCACAGATCTTCGCTAGACTTACTCTTCCTTCCTTAATTAATATTGCCTATTTATAAAAATTGTTATGCATTAACTTGAAAAACGATTGATTATAAGGGTACAAATCAGGCATTACATATTGGCAAACCCATTTCGCGCTTTTTCGTTCTAGCATATCAATCTTATAAATTTTTACTTATTTTGCCAATAATGCGTGTTTCTTTAACTATCTACCAAACGGGTTGAAGCACTAAAATGTATTAAATACGCATGAATTATTTATATAAGCTATAGAGTTGATGCATTCAGAAGTGTGCATTACCCGCTCTTTCTTTAAGCGTCATATTATAGTTTTTATTTGACTTATAATTAGGTTACTTTTTTGTGGTTGGCGAAATTGATTGAAGAATTAATAAATAAGGCATTAATATTAACACAAACAATATATTCAGGACTTTTAATTTCTCGTTCTGGCATAATACCACATTATTTTTTATTTTACCGATTTTCCCCTTTTTTAAACCGTCTACCGAACAGATTATAACAATCAAATTTACCAAAGCATTACTTAAAGGCTTGGTATAAGTTTCAGAATTAGTGTTTCAAGCGGCTCACTCACGCATAACGCGTGAAGTTATAGTTTTCATTTTATTTCTAACTTGGTTTCTTTTAATGGTTTGTAAATGAAGAAATTAATATGTAATATTCGGAGATAGTTATTCTATATTTTCCATTCTAGCATGAAGCCAATTATTTCTTATTTTTACTATTTTCTTTATATATTGTCTATAAAACGGATTAAAATAATATATAATTAAGCACTAAACATTGATGAAGTTTTCGGAATAGATACCAGTCCCTTTTTAATAGTTAATTGGCCAATTTTTGTTATTGTTCCTTTAAACTTATTAAGACCTCAAAGGTACTAATAAATTATGAATATTGCATAGAATTCAGATTTAAGGTCTTCAATTCAGCGAACTTTAAGGTAAATGAATTAAGTATCTTAAAAAAGCAAAATAAAAAATATCCAATTATAATTTTTCATATGCGAGAACAGGGCAAATGGGGATTTGTCGTACCCCTCCCCTCTCGGATAACTCATGGCCATGCGCTGATTCCTACTCTATGAATTTCAGAATTTTAGCCGTTAACTTTTAATTTCTAATTTATATATAAAAAAATATATAAAAACGAATATAAATTAAGTTCAAAAATTCATATTGAAGCTTTTTAAAAAATCATAGAGGAGGGCTTCTATATATATGCTGGAACACATTTCCAGTAAATGAAATTTTTTTAAATAAAAAAGAACGCTCAAAAAATAACAAAAAACATCTTGATAAGGTATACAAATAAAATCGTAGCGGGGCTGTTTCTTATAAATTTTTAAAGAGGATTCCAAGTTCTGGTTCATTGGATTTGCCCCTGTTCCAAGGATTCCAGGCAATGGAAGCAAACTTTGTAATTTTAAAATTTTTATTCATAATCCTAAACAACAATAAAAATGTTTCCAGTATGCCCTTCTGCCGATTATTATCTAAATGTTAGCCGCCAGACTATTAATTTTTGGCGTCAGTGTGGTCAAAAATAACACAGCAAACGCAAAGGTCTGAATATAACTATATATATAGTTTGATAAAATATTATAATTTTTTAATGGAAGACAATAAAGCTACTATAATAAAATAAACCTATTTTTAAATATACAAGTTTTGATAAAACTTATTTTAAAAAAAATAATTTTGAGTGTAAATAAAAGATCGAATGATTATACCGTTCTATCTACTATTACAGGAAATACTCTGAAAGATGTAATAACGTGGTTATCTAAAAAAAATAAATGTTAGTTAAATGAATTGATCTTAAAATCATAATGAATTTAATAATAAAATAAACCATGAGTCAATCAATATTAACCTAACATCCCCAATAAAAACCAACTTATAATTTTTTGGTATTCTTTAACATAATTCTATAATAATGAACTTAAATGATAGAGGCTGGAGATGTATCAGATCTTATCAAAAAAATTTCTTAATTCCACGTAAAATGTAAATTTAATTCATTAAAAATATATTAGTGGATGTGCCGATATTAAATATCGGATCGGGGTCGATACTTTTAGCGATCCGATCTGCTTTATTGTTTTGGGTTATTTTACGATTGTATACATAATGATAAATTCCAAATGTATAGTAAAAAACGTTTTATAAAACTTTTATAATTTTTATGCATAAGAAATATTTCAGTTTTGAATCACAATTTTTTTATTAAAAATAATTTTGTTTTATATTTTGATTTTTTTCATTTTTGAAAATATTTTTAAAGAATTTAATTTTCGAATCGAATATTCTACGAATCAAATCGAATAACGTTGTCATTATTCGTATGAATACAAATAAAGAATTCTTCGATTCGTACGAATAATACAATAATTTGATTCGAAAATATGAATCGATTAAGAATAATGCAAATATAGGATTCTTTTGGAAGTATATTTGAACCAAGAAAAGGGTTTAAACACATATAACGTGTCACATTCAGCTAATGTAAATGGTTCGATTTAATCGATTTTTAAAACGGCTAGCTCAAGAATTTAGTTAAAACAAAATAAGTCAGAAAATTTTGCCCAAGGTTTGGATATCTAGCGAAATTTCGAGGCTTGGGTAATAATAAGTTGGCTCTTAATTTAGGTGTCTTGAAAAATCGGCTAAAGCCGTTTAGCAACACTTACAAATATTGCCCATATTTTAAATGGGATGATTAACTTTTGGAGAAAAAAAAATACACTTAGTCATTCGTAAAAATTAGATAATTTTTTACTAGGAAATATTAATTTTTCAAAGATAGATTGTAAATAAAAATCAATATAAATTTCGGATAGTTTACAGTATAAATCGATGAAAAATTTGAGGATCGGCACAGCCCTAAATAATTTATTCATCGAAAGATGATATTTTTTTGTGTAGTAACTAGATCTGTGCCTAAGAAAAATTTATTTTTGACATTATATTATTCATAATTATATTCAAAATTTATGTAAATACTATTTTATTAATTCAATAATTATTTTCGCAATTAAAAAATAATAAACTTATTTATAAAAACATTTTAAATTTGAATTTATTATCAGCAAGTTAAAACTTTTTTAATTTTAAACCAATCAATTTAAGATCCCCTGGATCGGAGCGTATGTCAGAAGTTTCCGGTTCGGCAAATAAGAACACCACCATGTTTGAGGCATGGAAATTTTGTTACAAAGGGCGGAATAAAGATAGCAAGTAGAATAGAAAATATTGTTAAAATAATTATAAAAATTATAAAATGGCGTTTAAATTTAAAATTTGGAAGAAGTAATTGATTCTGAAAATAAAGAATACACAGAAGCAATAGTATTTTAGATTTATTAGATTTTTTTATTAGATTTTTATGATATCCATATGTTAAAGACGTTTTGATTCGATCAATATGAAAATGATACGTATACATGTGAAAAATAACAAAACAAGATTTCAAAAAGAAATGTGCCTACACGTGAGTTTAAGATTTTAATGATTCCAAGTGTGAATGGAACCAACAAAAATCTAATTATCATCATTTTATCTCTTCCCAACCAAACCATGCAGTAAATTAATTCATAGTTTTCATATATACCTGTTCCTCAGGGTATTGGTGTCATTTACATATTTTATCTGTGTCTCATAAGTTAAATACAGTGAATTGTTGCCTTAAAATAAAGCACTCCTAGTGAGTGTGTCTATTCAGTCAGATTACCTCAAAATCGAGAAAATCCTCACTAGGTATTAAATTTAAACAAGATAATTGTAATTAAATAATATTGTTATATTCATATAATAATATGTTTGTATAATTTTAGTTTTCATGGAAAAAATTAAATTAAAAAGTCGAAGCTAATTTTCTGATATAAACGAAATGAAAATAGGCGCGCTGACAATTACCGATATGAATTTTTCTTCAGCATTCAGGTCTAGTTTAACTACTTTCTTATTTTTATAAAAAAGAAAAATAAATCTACATTTTTTTTAATAAATGCGTTAATATATATACAGGAACCGAGAACCGATCGAAAACTCATTTTTAATGAACCGACCGGATAAAAAGATGAAGGATCTGGTACATCTCTACAGGCAAATTATATATATTTATTAATGTAATGCTAAGAAATATATGTAAGGAAAAGTTTATAAACCAGAGAGTTCACCAGTTGCAGCTGAAGCACCAAAGTAATAACCCGTGGGAAGATGAATCCCCTTAACTTCAAAACACTTCTCCACAGTTTTGAAATGGTCATAAGTCATTTTTACCTAAAAGAAACCAATTATAAAATAAAGACATATAAAGCAGAAGTGCAAATGATACCAATTTTTTTCCAATACCAATACCAATACCGGGCCAACATTTTCATTGATGAAGAAGTAGTATTCTCCCTAGCTACCAATATTACATTTTTCAAAAATTATTTAAGCATGGCCCAAGGTTTAAAAATAAAATTTTTCCCAGAACATTTACAATTCGTTATACTAATCAACTTCATGTATATTCGTCCATTTGTAATTTTTTATTTTATGCATTTTAAAATTTTGATAAAAATAATAGTATTCTCAATTTAAGCATGGCAAATGTATATTAAAAGAACCCCAATCAAAAAATCCAAATGCCGGATAAAATATTTTTCAAAAATTTTGCTGATTTCTACATCTTATCACATATATATTCCAATTTTCAGCAGAAATAAATATGCTACAAAATTATTCTATGAATTAACGATTAACTGTCATTTCAAATTTTTCCACCAAATCATTAATTTTTTTGCAAAATATAAGTAAAATATTTCAAAAAACAGCACCGATTTGATTGAGATTAAGATAAGAGCTGAAGCCATTATATTGGAACCTAAGAAAATCAGGGCAAAAGTAGATGATAAATCTCATAAAATATAAATCATTGTTGAGTAGCAGAGCTCTAGAAATTTAATATTTGTCTAACTCGACTCGCAGCAAGGCAAGCCCATTGTTCCAATAAGAATCTTATAAAAAAAATCTCTTTACCCCCCTCTTAGATATTTTATAACTCAAATGAATGGTTCTTGATTGATCAAGCAGCACTTACAAATCTGTAATTAATTATTATTATCACAGATTCCTTCCAAATCTATTTCAAATCTTGATAGAGAAAATTAAATATTTGGCAATATTTTATTGTGAGGATGTTAATCCTATGATGTATTACTAAGAATACAAACTATGATATAAAAGGTTAACTATGGTAGATAATGTTTTAAAAATTGCTATAGATGCTTTGCATAATTTCAAAGACATTTTAAACTATTTTCCTAATACATAAAAATTATTATATATTATAACAACTTTACACATTAGTACTCCCATCAATGAAAGAACATTTTTTGCCCACAATGATTCCCTTTACATATACATGGAACTGGAATTAATTCTGATAGAGATGGTTCATTAATATTTATGAACATCAAATTTGACAAATTATTTACTCTTATACTCACTCGATTATTTACCATGATTATAATCATACGATGAAGGCCACTTTCACATTCAGCAGTATTGCAGGATAAATATCCAAACAGTTAAGGAATTTTATTGTCGAAGCCCAGCAATCTTTTTACGATTTACTTTAAATCTTTGGTAGATTCTTTTCATTAGCTTCTGGCTAAATCGCGCATCTAGCTCCTATGGTCAATTTTCTTTTTAAATAAAGAATATATCGGAAAGAATTTTAAGAAAATAATTTTATTAAAATTTATTAAGTCATATTACCTTTGTTTTTAAAGATGTCCATTAGATGGGTCTACATCATGCTTTCTAGAGAAATAGGTCTATTTCTAATTTTACTAGTTTTGGATTTTATAATATATTTTTAAATAAAAATTTAATTTCTGAATTAAGCTATGTAGATATTCATATACATATGCCGTCTACATGAGAGCAGGGGGAAGGAGAGATTTGCCGTATTTATTTTTAATAAGGGGGGGGGGGTAAGGGATAGCAAGAAAAAAAATAAACACTACTTATAGATTGAAAATAAAAATAACCGATAAAAAATTTTAATTTATTGATAGATATTTATTTCTCATTCATGCATAAATTTTGGTATAGTTTGAAGTAATACACGCTCTGGCTATTATTTAGAATATAGTAAAAACTAGTTGATATCACCAACTAATGTTAATTATATTTGTTACAAATAATCACGAGGTCTGAAAGGGTTTAATTAGAATTTTTTTGGAGGTTGTATATGATGGCTCATTATAAGATTTTTATAAATTAATATAATTGGCTTGTTATAGTATAATGGGTGGGCAATTAAGGTCCAAAGGCCGGCAATTTTTAGGGGGGGGGGGAAGTAGGAGAAGATTTTGAAGGGCGCGTGTCTCCAATAAATTTTCTGTCATGTAGACACTTCCCAAATAATATTTTACTATTGTCAACATGTTCTCAATGATCTAATTTTTAAAATAATAGTCAACTATAAAAAGGTTCATTAGTAAAAGAATAAGAAAATTTCACAATTTATAATTTCTTTCAAGGTAAATTGATTAATCCTATTAATCTACCTATTAATTTTCAATTCCTATTTAAACACAAAAGATTTTGTTAAAATTGGAGCATTTCTTGCCTCTAGTGTTGCTAAATTGGCTCAATCCTAGTCAAAAATACCCTAAGACTTGAGGCAAGAATATATTTTTTTCATAATTCAGATATGCTTTAGGTTTAGTTTTCGCTAAAAAATTTCTAGTCTTTTTAAGTTTGGCTTAAAACCTACTAAAAAATGGGGCAATTTATCACTAATACTTGTTTGGCGGGGAATCACACCTTATACTTTAAATAAAATAGAAGCAGCAGCAACACAAAATGAATAAAAATATTAAAAAATAAAACTTTTTACCTCTCTATCTATGTGCCTATAAAAATAAAGATTTTTGACCTCTATAAATTTAATTTTATAACTAAAGAAAATGAGGTTTCAAATTTAACACTTATGAAAAAATATTAAAACTTAGGGAGATGGAAAAGGGGATAGTCCATCCTTAAAATATAAAAAAAGGTGTTAAAAATTAAAAGAAAATTATTGGGTGGGGGGCTTTATCCACCTCACAATACACCCCTGGTTGCTGGATAACATTGTGCTAATACCATGAATATCTATGTGAAATTTTATTTGGTTTATTTCAAAATTCCTTCAAATCTTTTCCTGCATTAAATTATAAACCTGATAAGGTAAATAAGAAATAAAATTTTAACAATAATAAAAAAATAACGGTTATCACAACAAAAATTTAAATGATTGTGGTAGTGGTAGCACTAGTAAAAATTATTGGTATTGGCTGGCATTGGTAAAAATTATTGGTATTATGCAGATTCCAACTGTTGTAAAGTTTGGAAATAAACAATCAATAAAAGCTGTCACACTTAGTGAGGATGAATGTTAAAAGGGAGTCATGATTTGTATTTATTATATTTAGATTTATAAAATATTATTTTTTTTCAGCATAATTTTTGGTTGTATTTTTAAATATTTTTTATATTACGTTTTACAAGAAGCTTCCCTATAAAAGGAAAGAGAATTGTAATAATTATGATTATTGGTTTTATAATTTTTATTTGGATAAAAACTTGTTTAGGTTTTTTTTGTGCGGATAATTTTAATAAATAGTCACAACCAATAAATTATTTTTGTGTCAATAATAATTAGATCAGTAATATATATTTGTATCTCAAATTTTTCATAGCTGATATATCTAAAAAAAAATACAATATATGTATAGTGACCTTACTTCTAATGTGTTTCTAACATATGATATAACAATTATAGGATGTTTATCAGCTCCTCTAAAATTTGTATGAAACCCAGCTATCTGAGTATCTGTGCCATCTTTATCTTTATTATATTGTCGTGTGCCATCATTGACTTGGGCAGATATATATGGATGTTGATGCTACTTAGAATACATTATCAGTGAATAAATATAATATACTAACATCATTTATATCATTATAATTGTTATAAGTATCCAAAAATATTCCCAATCCAGTAAAGTTATCTCTGCTTCCAAAAACAGGCCCTTAAGAATTAAAATATTAATTATTTATTAATCTATACAACCCTTTTCTTCTTTGTCTTTTACATACCATAAGGCCATTCCATCCCCATAAAGATTTTCCCCATGACCATATATTTGAAACTGTATAACAATTTCCCAATCTCTAAAAGGTACAGGCTAAAATATGTTGTGAGATTAAAAATATAAATTGATTACATACAGTTGTACACCATATTGCTCCTTCACTGCTTTTTATATCACGAGTTAAAATAATAAAATTAGAAGAAACCATGGCATCATGCAAATTCCATCTAGTATCTATAATATATATTTATCTCCAGTGTTTTAATTAATAATGAAACTTGAAAATGGAAATGAGAATGAAAAATCGAAATTCTCAAAAATATTTGGCGTTTGAGCATATATTAAAAGAAGCAAAAAGCTCTTATATAATGTAAGCACTAATAATTTATATCTTTTCATTTCAAATATTAATATTACATAGAAAACTATGCATTTATAAAAATTTAGGTATACACGTGTTACAACAATCAAGCATAAATGCCCGAAAATATATATTGATGGGTTAATCAATCACTGTCAATTATAAGAATCAAATGTGCGTGGTAATTCAAATAATCTAATATCATTATCCACTAGATAGGTATTCATTCATTAAATCTAAAATAAAAGTGCCCATACATAAGTTGAAACGCCATTTTATGGTTTGCAGATTAATTTAATGACAGTGAATGCAGTGGAGTTGTAGCCCGATTTAGATCGATTTTTTAAAACGACCTGATTAAAATTTTAGCCAAAATAATATTTTGTAAGCCTCAAAATTTGGCAAGTAGAAGGCCAAATATTTCATCAGGCTTACACAATATTATTTTGGTTTTAATATTAATCGAGCCGTTTTTATAAATAGTCCCGAATCGGGCTTTGTAACAACACCATGTGCAATTTTGGCGAAAAGTTACAAATTACGATATAACGCATCTCTTAATTTAAAAATATGAGTTTCTTTAACAATTTTATTTATTTGAATGTTTTAAAAGTAACAGTTTGTTTTCTGTTACCTTAACATTTATAACGATTTATTTTAAACAAAAATAGTTTTTTTTATAAATATATATTTAACGTTTAAGATGAAATGTCTGACTATATTGGTTAACGGAAAACAAGGAAACCCAATAGAAATAGCTAATAGGATTTCTTCATTTTCAAATATTTTTGTTTTGGTATTTAAGTGATATAATTTTTTGTATTCTAAAATAATAGCAGCCATCAAAAAAGTGATGTTTGTAGCAGAAGATGATGATAGTATTATAAAGGAAAATAAATACATAGATTGAAAAACAGATTATTTAATGTTTTGAAATTAGTATACAGCATAAATATCTACATATTAACATTTCCCCGCTCCGGTAGAACCTTTAAATTTTTTGCAAATTATTTAATAAACCAAAAAACTAAAATAATGTTTTAGATGAATATTTGTTCTTTTATCTAATGCGGTTAAAGACAATAAAATATTAATAAACTTGTTTTCGTTTATACTTTATCACGCTCTCTTTATATTTTAGACTATAGAGAAATAAATCAATAAATTTTTATTGCATTATATATTTTCATTCTTATTTTTATATCTAACGAAATGCTTTTTGTAACCGTCACACGTTTCAAAAAAAGGAATGTAACCATTCACCCTTTTAAGGTTACGAAAGTGACGTAGCCATTATATTTTTTATTTGAATAATGGTGTAAAGTAATATGTCCATCACAGGTTGTGCGAATATAATCGCATCCTAAAATTTCATAGACATATATTGAGCATTAATTATACTGGTTAGTTATTATAATTTTTACTATTTTATTATCATATGTTAGACTCCTAACGATCACAATTTTTTTATTAGTATTTTCATTAAACTGACTATTAAATTTTTGTAAATAGGGGTATATAATCAGAATTTAAGCCACAATTTGTAACTGAATACATTTTACTAGTGTTGTTAAACGGCTCGTTTTGAGCCGATTTTTAAAAACGGCTAACTCAATATTTTAGCAAGAAAAATATTACCTAAGTCTTGAGATTTCGCTATTAGATGTTTAAACCTTCGGATCATCTATGAGAAGAATCTTCAGTCTTGCGTAATGTTTACCTGGATAAAATACTGTGTTAGCCGTTTTTAAAAATCGGCTCAAATGGAGCCGTTTAACAACACTAGATTTTACAATTGTGGAACTATACTATCTTCAAGGATTTTTTATACAATTACCTAAGATATTTATTTCATCTAAATGCTTCAGATAAATATGGCACATTCGTTATATGCTCTTTATTCACCAAAAACCCTTCGGTTAAACCATATAATTTAATTATCTATATGATTAAATGTTTCAACAATTTAGGAGTCAATCTGATGTTCATCTTTGCATTTATCTCTATACAGCTTGCTTGTTAAACCTATTCTAGTTTTCAGTATTTTATTTTGTATTGTATCCCGATGCTCTCTAGCAGCTTTAAATCAGGAATCTTTTTCTTATAATATGCATTATTTTAAATAGATGTAGGTTATAAAAGATACGGAAAAATTAGCATATTTGATTTCCAAGCTAATAAAATTTCTAAAATTCTGGCTTAAAGATACAATAAGAGCTACCATACTATAATATTTCAAAAATTTCCAAAAAAATTATAAAGCTCGTGTCCTCGTGAGCATAATAATATATTAAGTAATTGAAATTTATAGAAGATTTATTATTTATATGATGAGATTGTTCAATGTATGTGTTGTTAATTTAGTACTATCTCTTTATATTATTAACTAAGCTACTACATATAGCAGAGATCTGCATGGGTATTATTTGCACGGCCTGGCACTGGTATTTTTGTAAGCCCTGCTCAGTTTTATTTTAAAAAAATTTCCCCGTTTTCTTAAAAAAAAATTTCCAGGGAATGTAAATTTTTTCTACAGCCTTGGTTTTTATAAAAAATTAAAATGTATCAATTCGGAATTTTACATTTTTAACGAATATGAAATCTATAAAATAACTTTAAATTATCTTTTCTATCTAAGGCATAATTTGAATTACCACACTTTTTACTGGTCGATGATAATTCCTTTATTTCTTGTTCCTCTTGTAATTGAATATAGCCTTTTGTATATCAGTCATTTGTGCTCTCGGCAAAATACTTACTTGCATAAATTTAGGGGAGAAAAGGAGAGTTAAAATGATATTTATCTAAATACATTTTCCCCTTAAAAAGTGTATTATATTTTACATATTAATGTATCTTTTAATTTGATTGAATATCACCTTAAATAATGATTACTTGAATTAATTTGAATAATATTTTACTAATATTTTCGATCGAAATAATAAAAATATGATAAGTGAATAAAAGTGGTATATTCTTCCATAATAGACAATTTTTTAGATATTATAATGGCGATTTAAAATATTCAGCTTTAAGAGATTCGGCACGACTGGGAAAATCCCCGGTATCTTTAAAAATTTTAGGCCCCGCACGGGTATATCTAAGTATGGTCCGGCCTATGTACCCGGGCCGGGGGGGGGCTGCAGGTCTCTGATAATAGTTTTTTATTGTAATCCTGAATAATTTATAATATTTTTTATATCTTATTATTTAAAAATCTTTGATTTAGAAGAACACTCTAATCTGAATGTTTGTTTCATTAATTATTAATATGTCATAAATAAATAACCAAGAATTATAATTATGATTCCTATATTTTATATGAATTTATATTTATATATTTAATTTTTTTTTCATAAGTAATTATTTTATTTTCATAAATATATATAGTACTAATTGTAGATATATAAAAAATTATCATAAATAAATGCAATATCAATTAATAAACAAAATTTAATATAAATTTATTGGACTAAAAAATGATAATCGTATAAAAATAGGTGAATATATTTATTTTATGAAAGTAACTTTAAATAAGTGTAGGAAATAAATTCCTAAATATTTCTTAAATTTTTTAATTAAATATAAAGTATTATTAGGGCAATTTGATAGGATTTTAAGTTTTTGAACTATTAATTTCGAAAACCTTTTAAATTTGGTATCAAAGTACCCTAACTATTAGAAATGAGAGGTATGAATATAAATCCTCTTGAGATTCTCTGTTGAATCGATAAAATCCATATTCCCGGTAATAGGATGGGGTGGGAATATGAATAAGGTTAGTATATTAAATATTAGACAATTAAAATTAATTCATTATTAGGTATCTACAAATGAATTCTTAGAGAATCAAGTTAGTTTTATCCTTTTTTATAAAAGAAAATATACCCCGCATTTTAATAGGTTTAAGGTTGCACAAACGACCACTTTCCTTTTATGATTTTTATTATGTATAGATTATCAAACCTATTTTGAATGGAAGACCTTTTACTTTATAACAATCAATATAAACCGATATTACAGCAATTATAAACACTAAGAGACATTTATGAATATACTGATATAATCTCAAAATCTACAATACAATTTAGACTTCTGGGTATTAATTAATGCTGTGAAGTAATGTCGGTGAAAATAACGTCGTTACTAACAGTGTTAGATTTTTGAGAAAAATGAACGCCATTCATGCAAAAGGTAACGAGTAACGTTTATTTTTAAGTTATGGTAACGTAAAACATTATCGCTACCTTAAACTTTTTATTTAAAAATATGGAAAATTTTTTATTTTATTATACATTATATTTTTTCAAAATTTTATATTAGCCGAATTTTTAATTCAAAAAGTTCCTCATTTTAATTTTATTTATTACATTTATGTTGTTGATTTAATAGTGTCAAGATTGTTATTAATTATATTAAATTAATCAAGGAATGTAAATTATATTAAATCAAATAAGGTCATTAATTTTCATTTTCTAATATTATAAAATTTATTTTATAGTCAATAGTACTTATTTCTTTAGATGAAAATGATTTAATTCTACTCTGGCCCAGTTTGAAACATTTTTTACGACAATAAAGAAAGTTAAGGACATTAAGTGTACACCTTATAAGTGTAGATTGGGTCCTAATTCAAATATTTCAACCTCGATGTCCAGCAGCTCAAATCTAAAAAAACATATGAAGGTAAATATATGAATTAAATTAAATCCTGATAAATTAAGAAAAAAATTTGACGAGGAACTGGATGTAGATTTTTGTGAATATGTCTTTAAAGAATCCGGAAAAAACCCCCAGAAAAAAACTCCGGAAAAACTCCCAAAAAAACCCTCAGGAAAAAAACCTCCGGAAAATAAACCCCAAGATTTTTTTTCATATTTATAGAAATTACGTAAGATCTAATAATAGTGTTGTTAATCTCGTTCAATTTTTCAAACGTCTAACTCAATATTTTAGTCAGAAAAATATTGCTTCGTCTAAACCTTTGTTCCTTCTATGAGCAAATTCTTCAGGCTTGCGCAATATTTTTCTGGATGAAATATTGAGTTAACCGTTTTTATCAGCTCAAAACG